TTTATTTTAATTTATTTTAATTTATTTTAATTTATTTTAATTTATTTTAATTTATTTTAATTTATTTTAATTTATTTTAATTTATTTTAATTTATTTTAATTTATTTTAATTTATTTTAATTTATTTTAATTTATTTAAATTTATTTAAATTTATTTAAATTTATTTAAATTCATTTAAATTTATTTAAATTTATTTAAATTGATTTAAATTTATTTATTTTTTAATTAATTTTAATTTAATTTATTTTAATTTATTTTAATTTATTTTAATTTATTTTAATTTATTTTAATTTATTTTAATTTATTTTAATTTATTTTAATTTATTTTAATTTATTTTAATTTATTTTAATTTATTTTAATTTATTTTAATTTATTTTAATTTATTTTAATTTATTTTAATTTATTTTAATTTATTTTAATTTATTTTAATTTATTTTAATTTATTTTAATTTATTTTAATTTATTTTAATTTATTTTAATTTATTTTTTAATTTATTTTTTAATTTATTTTAATTTAATTTATTTTAATTTAATTTATTTTAATTTAATTTATTTTAATTTTAATTTTTATTTTAATTTAATTTATTTTAATTTAATTTATTTTAATTTAATTTATTTTAATTTAATTTATATTTAATTTATTTTAATTTAATTTTTAATTTAATTTTAATTTATTTTAATTTATTTTAAATTTATTTTTAATTTATTTAAATTTATTTAAATTTATTTAAATTTATTTATTAAATTTATTTAAATTCATTTAAATTTATTTATATATTTATTTAAATTGATTTAAATTTATTTATTTTTTAATTAATTTTAATTTAATTTAATTTTAATTTATTTTAATTTATTTTAATTTATTTTAATTTATTTTAATTTATTTTAATTTATTTTAATTTATTTTAATTTATTTTAATTTATTTTAATTTATTTTAATTTATTTTAATTTATTTTAATTTATTTTAATTTATTTTAATTTATTTTAATTTATTTTAATTTAATTTTAATTTATTTTAATTTATTATTTAATTTATTTTAATTTTATTTTAATTTATTTTAATTTATTTTAATTTATTTTTTAATTTATTTTTTAATTTATTTTAATTTAATTTATTTTAATTTAATTTAATTTATTTTAATTTAATTTATTTTAATTTAATTTATTTTTAATTTAATTTATTTTAATTTAATTTATTTTAATTTAATTTATTTTAATTTATTTTAATTTATTTTAATTTATTTTAATTTATTTTAATTTATATTTAATTTATTTTAATTTATTTTAATTTATTTTAATTTATTTTAATTTATTTTAATTTATTTTAATTTATTTTAATTTATTTTAATTTATTTTAATTTATTTTAATTTATTTTAATTTATTTTAATTTATTTTAATTTATTTTAATTTATTTTAATTTATTTTAATTTATTTTAATTTATTTTAATTTATTTTAATTTATTTTTAATTTATTTTAATTTATTTTAATTTATTTTAATTTATTTTAATTTATTTTAATTTATTTTAATTTATTTTAATTTATTTTAATTTATTTTAATTTATTTTAATTTATTTTAATTTATTTTAATTTATTTTAATTTATTTTCAATTTATTTTAATTTATTTTAATTTATTTTAATTTATTTTAATTTATTTTAGTTTATTTTAATTTATTTTAATTTATTTTAATTTATTTTAATTTATTTTAATTTATATTAATTTATTTTTAATTTATTTTAATTTATTTTAATTTATTTTAATTTATTTTAATTTATTTTAATTTATTTTAATTTATTTTAATTTATTTTAATTTATTTTAATTTATTTTAATTTATTTTAATTTAATTTTAATTTATTTTAATTTATTTTAATTTATTTTAATTTATTTTAATTTATTTTAATTTATTTTAATTTATTTTAATTTATTTTAATTTATTTTAATTTATTTTAATTTATTTTAATTTATTTTAATTTATTTTTATAATTTATTTTAATTTATTTTAATTTATTTTAATTTATTTTTAATTTATTTTAATTTATTTTAATTTATTTTAATTTATTTTAATTTATTTTAATTTATTTTAATTTATTTTAATTTATTTTTAATTTATTTTAATTTATTTTAATTTATTTTAATTTATATTTAATTTATTTTAGTTTATTTCATTTTAATTTACTTTAATTTTAAATTATTTTAATCTATTATAATTTATTTTAATTTATTATAATTTATTTTAATTTATTTAATTTTTTTTAATTAATTTATTTTAATTTATTATAATTTATTATAATTTATTATAATTTATTTTATTTTTTTTAAATATTTTATTTTAATTTAATTTATTTTAATATAAATTACAGTCATCGTCCACTCACCCATTGTTGATACACCTTGTAATAATATAGCTGCATATATATTTATTAGTCACAGAGAGTAAATGCATTTAAAAAACTTATTGGCTCTATGCGAAACCCAACAAAAATTTTTGGCAGTTAATGTGTTAACATAAAATAGATCTTAAAATGAGAATCCAAATATATCTAAAATAAATTTTTTGGATGTCACATAACCTAGTGTGTAAAATTCTAATATACTCTATGGTGGATGTCATATAGTCGGGTGAGTAAGTTTTAATATACTGAATGTTGGATGTCAGAGAGTCGAGTGAGTAAATTCTAATATACTTAATGGTGGATGCCAGACAGTCGAGGGACTGAAATATTTAATATACAAAATATACAAAACCAACTGACGCGAGCGCCACCTTCGCATCTATACACTGGAACTAAATATATACATAAAATTGAAAATTAAGCATTATGACATCCAGCTGAAATTTTTTTGGGCTTCCTTTTAAACCTCCTTTATGATGTTTGAACCCCAAAAACGTTGTGACATCCGAATTTGGATGTCACATCGCAGACGGATGTTAGAAAGATAGCAACATTTTTGCGACATGATGTCACAAAGTCGGCAGGACGAATCTATATATATATATATATATATATATATATATATATATATATATATATATATATATATATATATATATATATATATATATATATATATCAATATATGATATGTAATTAAAATGTATTTATATTTGCGTAAAATTAGAGTAGAAAATAATAATTAATTATTGACTTTTTTATGACTTTGCTATTGGTTACAATTAAAATAAATATACATACCGCTTTATAGGGAGCATTTTAAATGTTTGTACTTCGTGTTGATCTTTTAAAAATCAATATTTTCTTTATTTTTAATTTTTTCTTTGTTTGTTAATGAGATTATCCATAAAAATTATTTTACGTTTATTTTGGAATGTCTATAATGATTTCTGTTAAATCTAGACAAGATTCTTGCATATTTTGATCGCTTTGTAGCTCTACAGCACTTATGTACCAGCCGCATCTGCCTTACACAGACTATGATATTTTTGAAAAAAATATTTAAAATTATTTCTGATGCCTTGGTAAGATTCCCCACTGGACCATTCACTGTTGGGTTCTAATTAACAGTGCTGTTCCAAAATTGGCGCTGGGAAACAGTAACAAAGTCTACACAGAACACAATGGTGATTTTTATTACAAACTAAATAACAATTAAATAAAACTGAACAATTTATAACAATTTTAAAACATGGTTAAATCATTTTCAATATTGACGAGCGAGTTGTTTATATTATATAAGCACATATATTATATAGCTGGATTCTAAACTGATGCTGGTTGGCAAAACGATAAAACAAAGGTTGAATTACCTTCAAATAGTTAATTTTATAAAATACGTTTGCTATTTTAAACTGCTAGAATGGGTAGGGTACTGACTAGGCTATCCATTATTTAGCATCACCATTGCTGCCAAAAGAAAATAGTTGATCTGTAAAATATATCATCATTTCAAGTTATATTTGAACTGTGTGCTTTTCAATAGTAACCTGATAAAACTCCTGCAGTATGTAAAACTGGTTTGACGAGAGTAGTAACAGGGGTAAGAAATGGCGCGGTATCTGTAAAATATATCATTATTTCAGCGAGTTATATTTAAACTGTGATATTTTCAATAGTAACCTGATAATCTTGTAAAAACTGGTTTGATCAAACTACCAGCAAGAGTAATAGGAGATCCCTGGCCATCTCTAAAATACATTATTATTTCAGTTAGTTATATTTAAACTGTGTGATTTTCAATAGTAACCTAATAATTCTGTTCCTGCAGTTACAACCGATGTATCATGATCACCATTAGCGGGATTAAGTAACTCCTGCGCATCTGTAAAATACATCATTATTTCAGCGAGTTATATTCGAACTGTTTGATTTTCAATAGTAACCTGGTATGACTGGTGCAGTACTTAAAACTGATGTGGCAAGTTCACCACCATTGTTAGTGAGTAATGCCTGGGGATCTGTAAAATATATTATTATTTCAGCGAGTTATATTTTTACTGTGTGATTTTTAATAGTAACCTGATAAGCCTGTTGCAGCAGCAGCTAAAATTGTATTACTACCATCGGTAATAAGAGATCCGGCATCTGTAAAATACATCATTAATTCATCAAGTTAGGTTTTGACTGTGTGATTTTTAATATTAACATGATAAGCCTGTAACAGCATCTAAAACTGGTTTGAGAAAATCACCACCAGCGATGTTGCTAACTAAGTCTTGGCCCTCTGTTACATAAATAATTAATTCACTTATATTTTTACTATGTGGTTCTAATAATTACCTGAAGGAATTGGTGAACAATTGCAGAAAAACATGGAATTTAGAATAATAACTGTAACAAATAAAAATAGTATCAACGATTATTTCTCTAGAGAAATAGTCAATATTTGGTCTAGTGAAATAGTCCTACCAAATATAACACGATCTTGATTAATATTCTGCTATTTTGGTTGTTGCTAAATTTTTTAAACATTTTTCAATTTGATTTTGCATAATTTTAGCATATATATATCCATCTCGCTTAGGTCTCTTTTTAACATCTGTAACTATTTGGTCGGTGGTCGTCCTCTTCTTCTCCTCCCGGTTATTTTTCCTGTTAATACTTGCTTTGTTGGTCTTTCATCTGTTAGTCTCGCTACATGTTCTAACAACCTTATTCGCTGTGCCCTGGCTACAGTTTTTATAGAGGGTTCTCTACAAAATTTATTTATTTCAACGTTTGTTCTTCTTAGCCATACATTATCTACTTTGTTTCCGCCATATATCTTCCTAAGCATTATTTGCTCGAATATTTCCAATGAGTGTTTTTCTTTTTTGTTTTCTTTCCATACCTCGCTTCCGTAAGTGTCTACTGGCCTGGTTTTTGTTTTATAGATTTTCTTCTTGAATTTTAGGAGATGACGCATTTCTCCCGTACATTTTATTCCTTTGGCTATTCGTCCTTCTATTTCTTTTATCTCTTCACCATTATCGCTTATTCTCCTAAGTAGCCAAATAGTTAAATTTGGTCACTTTCACAAACTTGTACTCTGACCTTTTAATGTCTATTCTTAATTCTCTATTCTGTATGTTTCCTGACATTTTTTTACTAACATAAATTTTAACCTCATTTCTTTTGCAGCTTTCTTTAACTTATTTCTAAATGTTTCTCTTGTTTTTGCTAGGATTACTAAATCATTTGCGTAGGCCATAAATTGACTTCTCTGATTATATATCGTACCTCTTGTTAAAATTCCAATGTGTCTTACTGCAGAGTTTAAAATTATGTTAACTAATGTAGTGTGGATAGTGGATCTTCTTGTCTCAGTCCTTTATCAACTTTTAAATTTGTCTGATGTTTGAACATTAACATTCGCTTTATAAGCTGTTCCAGTAAGTGTTAGTTTTACTAATCTTATGAGGTTTTCCTGTATTCCTAATTGTTGGATCGCTCTATATATTTTTTCTCGTTTTATCTTATCTTAAGCTCCTTTAAAATCGATGAAAATCATATATAATGGTAAGTTTTCATTTAGACTATTATCTATAAATTGTTTTTATAAATACCTGATTAAGGACTGATCTATTTTCTCTAAAACCACATTGGTATTGTATTCTGTTTTCTATTTTACGACATTAATTATTTTATTCTATGGCCATTATCTAATTTGCACAATTAGGTATGTCTCCTTTTTTATATACAGGACAAATGAATGATTCTTTCCATCTCATGGGCATATTTTTATCTTCTTATACTGCCTTTATGATGTTGGATACGTTATTTTCCAGTTCATATCCTCCAATTTTCAACATTTCGGCTGTTATCCTATTTTCTCCTAGTGCCTTGTTATTTTTAAACATCTTTATTATTTCTTTTATCTCATTTATTGTTGGTGGTTGAACTTGATTGTTTATTCCTTAATTATTTTCAACATATATTACAGGTACATCATCTTCTTCTATTTCAAAGACTTCTTTGAAGTACTCAGCCCACCTGTGTAAACTATCTTGTAAGCCTCCCACGTACTGGCCTTGTTTATCTTTACAGAAGTTCATTTTATTCTGTTAACAATTATTTTTATTTCTTTTTATGTGGTGGTAAAAAGCTCCAGTTTGTTTTTTTACATACGTATTTTCTATTTGGTGAATTTGGCGAATTTCGTGAATTTGTTTATCTATCCATTCTCTTTTTTTCCGTATATTTTTTCATAGCCTTTTCCATTTTCGTTTATATTTTGACATAACATTTTCATTCTTGCTTTCCCTCTTTTTTGAATAATTTCTTTACATTCGTCATCGAACCAGGGCTTCGTTGGTTTGCCTTTCTCTTGACTAAATATTCTCCTTTATAAAATATTTTTTCTTCTGTCGTGCTTTCATTTATTTATTTCACTAATATTTCTATAATCTATTTCTGAATTTCCGGTGATTGAAGCCCTCGAGCTAAAGCTCTCGGGCTCTAATCAGATTATTAATGCCTAAAAATTCATCAAATTGATATTAAAATATTCTCGAGATTTAGACTCAACAAAAATAGCCGACTATTATTAAGGTCTTTGTATATTACTCTTGAATATTTAAAAGTTACTATAGTTCAATTGAGTTTTTAAATAATTAAGCCACTTATATATTGTAACGAGTTATCCGACAAATAATACCAATGTGCTATATAGAACAATAATACAGGAAAAAACGGAATAATTAACCTGAAATAGAGTAGAAGGAAGATTTTATTATAAATAGGTGTTAAGTTGACATAAGGGTGAATTCAAATAAATCGATTAGCATCGGTTGTACATTGTTATGGAGGAATTCTAAAATATATTTACTCATGCTAAGTATTTAATAAAACCATCGGTTCTACACGCAAACAAACTAACTGTATTTTTTTTTTTTTGATAAATCTCCTCTAAGACTGGGAAAGTGTAAAATGCGTAGTCGTAATATGCAACTTTAACCCATAGAAATCTTAAGAATATTGACTGTGCTTCCGACAAAAGCAAGAGAAACACTCACATTACAAATTTTTAGGTTATACAGGCCAAGTTGGGTGCAAAACTGTGTACTAGACATATAGTCAGGGCAGTGAAAACTACAAACCAATAATTATATCTGCTCTGCACCATCTTGTGACTAAGATAGAGAGTGGAGTCAGTATCAAAAAAATATACCTAAGGACATTTCTTGACTTAAAAGGAGCTTTTTGTAACATCTATTTCAAATCCATTTTAACTGTCGCATGGAACAGAAGACACCATCGGCTGGTGGATATAAGACAGGTCTTTTGAGAATCATATTTTAATAATCTAAGTACTAATGCCGAATTTTCGTTACTTTACGTGATTATTCTAGGAGTGGAACAATGTGTCCTATGCCATTTTGAATCTTAACGATAAAAAATTTAGTCTGATTTATAAATAAAATATGTTTGAAAACTCAATTTAATTATGTTGGTTTAAAGGATTTGAATTTGGCTCGATGAAATTATACCATTAATATAACAGAAAAAAAAAATAAATATTTTTTAAAACATACCAGCTCTAAAAGTTGCGAGTACTTTGAAAGACATCTTGTTTTATGTAAAGCCTTGTTTGAACTATAACTATTTCTTGAATTTAACTTATTTTATAGGTACGACAAAAATGAATACTTCATTAAACGGTTCATTTATTTCACTATTCAAATTATCTCTTGAAAATATAATAAATGTAACGTAATAATTAGTCTACAACAGATTTTTATTATTTATTCACTCATTACATTCTAAGCCGATATGAAATTTTACTTTAAAATATGTTAATAGTGCTAAAATACAAAAACAAATTTCTAATTATGGAATACTTTAGTCCATCAACGATATTAGTATTTTAAAGGGCTAATCTCAAAATTATAAAAGAATTAAATTAAAGACCTCGGGAGAAGAAGTGGATATGCCCAAAAACATAGTTTTGAGAAAAATGAATTTAAAATATTCAATCAAATCCTGAAATCATGTTATGATAGGTTTAAATTAGTAAAACACGCTAATATATTTACAATGACATCTAATTTCAAATGTATTAATAAGAAAAAACAAACTTAAAAACTTTTTTGTTTTAAACATTTTTTGAAAAAAAATGTGACTTATCTTCATTATACTCTAAACTTAATTTAACTTTTTTTTGTAAAATAACATTTTTATAAATAAAAAATATTAAAAAAAACTCTTACAGACTACAAAATTGTGTAAAAATGAAATTAACAGTCTTCCAAAGTCCAAACATTATTTCCACATTCGTTTACTTTTTCACTGCCTGTATCAATATCCTCAACTTCATTTTGTTCGAGATTTTGCCCTATATTTGGATCTTCAATTGGATTTAATGCCCCTATTTCTCGATAAAAATTAGTATATATAGGCGGAATGTACTTTTCCAGTTCTGAAAGGTTGGATACTTTTTTTTTGATTTAAAGGTAGTAGTTGATCATATTTTCTTTTTAGGTCTTTTAAAGTTAAAGAAATGCTGTTTCGTAACACTTCTAAACTCTTCATTTCTTCAATATTTTTTCCTTTTGGAAAAATTTTAAATGAGTAACTTGGTTAAATTTTAATTTGTCTCTGTCATCTAAAACATTTTTTTTACGATCTGTGTTTGTAAGTCTTTGAATGATAAAATATCCTCCTGCTTAATAACATTCACTCTAAATGGATTTGTTCTTTTTGCTTTCTGTACAGCTTGATACCAGTTGTTCGGCTCATATACCTGTCTCATAAATTTTTTGGATTTTTCTATGAGAGAGAAATCTCGATCACATTAAAGGTGAGTATGACGAACAATCAAAAATCGATGTTCAACTGATTTAAACCATCCACTAACTACTAGTTGTTACCACAGGCAGATAATGGACCAATTTTTATTTTGCCCGCTACATTTATCAGTATAAGCAATAAGTTTTTTGTTACCTTTAGGCGAGTTTTCCCGAAAATGTTTATACAACACACTAGCAATTTCATCGCTACCTCTCTTGGCCACATGTACATGTAACCCTGACCTGTCACACAATCATGAATGCCCAGATTATATACACAGGCATTTCTTAAATAAAAAGCTGGTCTTACTGTTAGACTTGGAAAGGTAAATCCTGCTGTAAATTACATAATATAACACAAATTTTGGCATTTTCAGTTTCTCATTTTAAACTGTGTTGCATGGCTTCTGCCCTTCTTTGATGTATCTCTAATTTTATTTTATTTTCACTGATTTCCTCTGTATCTGCAGCAGCACCTGTATTTTTTGCATGTATCACTTTTCGGTAGTTTAAAGAAGATGCGTCTATACTTATCCTTTGACACAGGTATTAGACCTCGCTCCTTGCACCAATCAATGTATAATCTTTGTAAAATATCGATATATTTAAATCGTGATCTATAAAAACTTTTCCTGGATTTTTCTTTCAACTATAATGATTAGTGCATTTTGGAATGCATCTATATGATTTCTAGCAGATTGTAAACGCTCATCAGGGGTCCTATTTGGTAGATTTTTATGTTGACATTTTGAGGTGTTATTGAACCTATATCTGACATTTTTTTATATAGTTAATTGATCCTTTTTTTGCTGTGTTGGAGACCATGAATAGACAAGAATTCCTTTTTGCAAAGCTTCACATTTTCTCTATTTATTATAACAAAATACTCTACTGAAATATTTCTAGCACAAGCCTGTTTCTTAGTTTTTTTTTGGGTACGACCTTTTTTTAGATAGTGTTTTTATACAAGAGTATATATAAATGTTTTGTATACTGTAATCGTCTCAATCCCAAAATGATTTAAAAATGTCCAGTTCCTTTCCACTCAGCTCTTCCCGGCATTTTTTCTTGCAGGTACATGGTGGCCCTATCTCTGTAGAACTTACTTCGATTCTTTTATAATTCGTGTAGATGTGACCCAAATTTCTTCTAGTTTTCTTGTTTTTTTGTTGTTTTCTCTGTTCTATCTTTGGTCTCCTCGATTTAGAAGGTTTCGGTTATTCTGGAGTGGGTAAGACACCTCTTGAGGTTGTTGTGGTGGGTGAGGTATCTGTTATAGTTGCTGGTAATACATTTTTTTCCTACAATAAAAAAAGAAAATAATAATGAGGCAAAAAGGGTGTAAGCCAAATTGTTTGTTTGTGTAAGCTATATATTAATACAAAGCCATATTTTTTTGCATTGTCGTAAAACAATATGTTTGTGACATTATGATAAATCGTAAACATTCTAATTTCTTTTCTGGTACGTCTCACAATAAAATAATTAGCACAAGAGATAAGCCACAAAAATTATGCCAAAAAGGGAATAAGCTAACTGCTCTTTTTCAGCAAAGAAAAGAATGTAAAACAAACAATTTCTGGAATATGTGTTAAACAATATTTTTAACTATGTACAAAAATTTCCAAAAAAAATAACAAAAATATGTAATACAAATGATTGTTTCAAAAA